GAAAAAAGACTTTGAGAATCACAGAGATATTGGCCCCTACATTTTTTATTGTATATATTTAAGGTGTAAAACCTGATGTTTTTCTATACATACACATTGCTAAATGATTACTCAAGTGAATAAACACGTTCATCACCTTCTTTTCATTTTTTGTGTGGTAAAAGCACCTAAAATCTATTCTCTTAGCACATTTTCAGTATTCATATATTTTTAACTATCATCCTCATGCTATACATTAGAACTCTAGACTTATTCATCCCACAACACTGCAAGTTTGTATCTTTGGACATACTTCTCATTTCATCCTCCATGCCCCAATAACTACTATTCTACTCTCTGTTTCTATATATTCAACTTTTTTTTTAGGTTTTATGTGTAAGTGAGATCATAGAGCATTTTTATTTCTGTCTCTGACTGGGTATATATCCAAAGAAAATGAAATCAGCATCTATAGAGATATCTGCACCCCATACTTATTGTAGCCCTATTCATAATAGTCAAGATATAAAAACAACCAAAGCGTCCCTCAATGGATGAATAGATTTTAAAAACTGTGGTGTATTTACAAAACGAAATATTATTCAGCCTTAACAAAGAAGAAGATACTGCCACTTGTGACAACATGGACAAAGCTGGAATATATTATACTGAGTAAAATAAGCCAGACAGAGAAAGAAAAAGACAGGCCTCTACATGGTGTTTGTGCTAATGAGCCAATGCTAGCAACCACCTACCTCCAGACTTCTTATTATGTGGGTAAGATAACGTCTATGTATTTAGGCCACCAAGTTGAGGTTTTCATTTTTTGCAGTTGAAAACAGTCCTGACTCTTAAACCACACAAACTTGTTTGGATTTTATCCCAGAGATAATGAGAATCCACTGAGGGATGCTAAAAAATAAAAAGAATTGCATCATCACATCTGCATTTTGGAAACATCATTTTGCTACAAAATACAGACTGTGAAACAAGATTGTAGAGGCAAGACCATGGCAAATACCATTATGATAAGGCAGACAAAACCATGATGGCGCTTGGAGCCAGTCAATCAACGATGGTGGGACTAAAGTGGATGCCACACATTTTAACAGGCAAAATGAATCGACCAAAACAAGTTGGATACGGGCAGTGAAGAAGATGCATCAAAGGTTAAAACTCCTATTTCTACATTAGATGATGCCCTAGATAGGTACATAAAAGAAATAGCATATTTAAAGAGAAGGACAATATTCTATTCTAGGCTGGAGTGAATTCGAAATGCTTATAGCACAACCAAATAGCTATTTTCAGGACACTTAGATAAGAAGCTCAGGAAGTTAGAAAAGACAGAGGCATGATAATTGTCTAATATATGTATGGTATAATTCAAAACTTAATATTTTAATAAAATAACATTACTTATTATGAATATCAATGAATTGTTAATAAAAATACAGCTAAGCAAAATAAAATTAAAAATACATATACCTGTGCCCACACAATTCTGGCACCTGGTTATAATTTGTGGTAAAATGTGGTTACCTATACATATGAATATACATACATAAATGGGATTATAATGTATATGATGTGTGGTAACAGGCTTCATTTACCTAGTAGCATATCATAAACATCTTTCTACTTCAATTAACACTTACAAATTTTCCCTAATATTTTTACTACATGTATTATAAATAATTCTGAGATGAATCATCCTCATAGTAAAATTTCTGTCTATATCCCTAATTATTTCCTTAGGAGACACTTCCAGAAGTGGGATTTCTGGCTAGCGTATGTGTTTTTAAGGGCTTTGATGGATATTGCCAAATTATTTTTTAGAGAGGTTGTAGCAAATTCACAATCCCATCAGCACAATGTGCAAGTACTCATCTCCCCAGACTTTCTCCAAGACTAAAATTATATACTTAATCAGTCAAGTCTTTGAGAAATGTATAAAATAAAAATGCTAATCTCACTGCAGTTTCCATTTTGTATTTTTCTGCCAGAATTTGAGCTGTTCATGTTTTATTGACAATTTGTATTTCTTCTTTTGCAAACTGTTGATTCTTGTTTTTTGGCCACTTTCCTTTTGGGACACTTTTATTGATTTGTAAGAGCTCTTCATTTGTTATAAACTTTAACTCTTCTTCATTAATGTTTCATTTTCCCCTAGTTTGACACTTGTCATTTACTTGTAGGGCCCATTGTGGTAAGCAGATATTTACAATTATTGGAATGGCCAAGGTTTGAAATGTTTGTTGGGAAGAATGGGCACAAGATGTGTCCAGAAATAAATAGGGAGATTAAAGTATGATGTGAAAAGCTCAGCTGAGATTGGAGACTATGAATTTCTAGTGACTTCAAATGGCAAATTGTACTAGTGTTTGATAACTTGTGTGGAGTGAGAAAGGGCCGCTTTTCCTAAGTCATCTAATATGAACTCTGCCTAGATTGGAACTTGAAAGTAAAACCAGCCCTTGCCTGAAGAGAAATCCAATCAGAACCTCAGTCCCTTTCTTTTAATGTAATATCCAGAGACCATCAGGCAAAACAAAAACAAAATATCAAATATTTTCAAACTCACTTAACCAGCAGAGGAGCAGTTTGGTCATTCAAACCACTGAGCATTTTCATGTAATTTTAAATGGCTCCTTTTATATAAACAGTATCTGTTTCCAAGAAATGATCTTGAGGAGAAAGTCAGCTGTCTTCCTAAAGGGTACAACTTTGAACCAAAAAAGGGGTGAATATCAGACTTTCCCAACTCACATGCCGCCTTCTGTCTCCAACTCTCCCACAAGGTTACCAAACACCTTAGACACCCACCTAACAAAGAACACACACACACACACACACACACACACACACAGAGAAAGTGAGCAGGATTCACTCAGTTGGGGTTTCACCTACTGGTTTACTCAGAAGCTACATAAAGGAATATGGAAGTTATGTGTATTAGCAAATGTGTTGCTGAAATAAGGCACCACGTGGATAGGAGAGGAGGCAACAGATGTACTGGGAGAAAATAGGAAGGGCTGGGGCCCTGTGGGGTTGAAGATCTGGTAGAGCAGAATGAGGACATGAGACAGCTACAAGATTAGGACATTTTCCACAATTTTCTTCCATCATACTTTTCATCATTGCTTCTAATTCAATTATTTGATTTTCTTCACTAAAAACAATGGTTATTTGTATCTTGAATATTCACCTACATATTTTAAATTTTGTTTATTAATTTCACTTATAATCAGGGAATGTTCCCCATTTCAGAATTGATTTTCAGTCATTGAGTCTACACACTGGATCCAAATTTTATTTTAGCCACACTGCTTTTCCGTTTCCTTGCGTTTTCTTTTTATCTCAGCCTATACTTACATAAAGAAGCATTGTCTTCCTGCATCCCAAGTAGTATTTAATTCAAGAGTATGGGGCAGGAAGGAGGAAGTTTGGAGGGGAAAGAAAAACAGGGCCATGTACTTTTCAGCCTTGACAAGATCACAAGACTCATTGGTAAACACAGGACTATTCAATGAGTTACCACTTTCAATGGTCATAATTCAGGGTCATGTCGACTGAAATGGAAAATTGCCAGGTACCTCCTGTGCTGAGCAGAGGTCCAAAGTGCAGTGCTCTGTTTGCTCTCACGCGAGACATATTTTTGCAACAGCTGATTCACAGGTATCCTTTGGGTCTTCGGAAACTACAGACACTCTCCACGAGCCCCACTTCATTTAGGGGATAGCTTCACTATAGAGCTAAGGAAATTATCCTTAAATTGCTTGTGAAAACAATGCCTGAATTTCAAAGCTCTTTTCCACCCTTGTGTCCTTTTTCTCCAATGTTGCCTTGAAGCAAGAGCGAAGATGAGATTCCTCTAATGGTGAGTGCCTAGAGAAGGGGGCCCTGGACTTCCTTAAGGGGAAAGAGGAGCTGACTGGTGACCTAGGCCTTCACTGATGCAAGAAGGCAGAGCCCTGGACTTGAGGCACAAGCAGACTACATGCTGCAGCTCGCCCAGCACAAGGTCCTGAGCAGTCCTTTTTTTTTTGAAATCAGGTTGCGCGTCATCCAAGATCCTCTCACAAAGAGAAGCCATGAACTTCCTTGGCTCATGGAACTCTCCACTTGGCTCAGATTTGTCACTGTAAATCATAATGTCAGGTTTGCATTTCAACTCTTAGACCACCATGTGTCAACCCTGCCTAGAGAATTAGAAAGTAAAACCAGTCCTTGCCCAAAGGAAATCTAATTGAAACCCTAGTCCCTTCCTTTTTATACAATATATCCAGAGACATCAGGCAAAACAAAACAAAACAAAAACAAAAGCAAAGTATCAAGAAATTAAAAACTCATTCAAGCAGCAGAGGTACAGTTTAGTCATTCAAACCAGTGAGCATTTTCATGTATTTTAAAATGACTCCTTTTATATGAACAACATCTGTTTTCAAGAAATGATCTTGAGGAGAAAATCAACCATCTTACTAAAGAGTACAACTTTGAACCAACGAAGGGACAAATATCAGACTCTTCCATACTCCAGATGCCTTCTGTCTTCATCTCTTCTACAGCTTCATCAAATACCTCAGAAAGGCCTCCAACACAGAACATAAAAACACATACTCTCTCTCCCACAAACACAGTCTCATACAGAGGCAGCCTGTGTGAGGTTAACTGCATAGAATAATCAGGCTGAGGTACTCCATCAGCCCCCGCCTTGGTCAGAGTTAATGCATAGTGACAGAAGTCAACAGTAGCCCCGGGCCACTTCAATCACTCACTTGAGCAGCTAAACATTTTCTGCAAGACAAAGCTCTTAGAACCCTTCATTTTTCAAATTAGAGAATGACAAGCTTAATTCCCAACCAGGAGACCTTTCATCTCAAAACTCAGCATAGCCGAGCAGTAGCTATGATTATGTAGTGTGTCTTTCCTGAGAATAAGGCCAGAGATGGCCAACCAGGAGACAACCTTGGACCCAGTCCCAGACCTCAGTACTGGCCCAGCGGAGACCAGGCACCTACCTGAGACAAAAGAATAGGCCGCTAGGATGTTGCTGAGCAAAGCCATCTCCACGTGCTCTGGGTTGTGGCTGAGGGGCAGCCTCATGGGACATCCAGAGGGGACCTCCTGGAGGTGCTTGGCTGAATCAACGTGGCCACTCTCCTTCTCTTCTGTTTGGGAACACAAAGTGAGTGATAAGGCACATTCTGCTGTCCTGAGGCCGTGTTCCAGGTAGCCTGGGCTCCTAAAGACATATTTTTGCAACAGCTGATTTGCAGGTGTCCTTTGCGGCTTTGGAAACTACAGACCCTCTCTGGCAAGCCCCACTTTATTTGCGGGATAGCTTCACTATAGATCTACGGAAATTATCCTTCAATTGCTTGTGAAAACTATGCTTGCGAAAACTAGCCAGGCTCCTAAAGAAAGACTAGCAAGCTCTCCAAGCCAGGGATGTCACAAAGATTTGGGGTCTTGTGCTCTTTGTTCAAGTGAGCTTCCTGGCTTTCAAGGAAGTAGAAACTCCTTACATCCCTGATTTTCCTGACCTTTCTCCTTTCTCTTCCCTGTATCTTCCTAATTCCCACTAAAATCCCCCCTTACCTCTTCTGGAACTCTTTATTTCATTCTCCCTGGTTCACCTTTGAGGCATAGCCCACCAGGTTCAAATCATCATTACAGTCATCACTGCATTTTAACTACAAGCCACAGCCCTCTCCTCTCCTGCTGTGCTTTCCCAGGAGCCTGCAGTGATGACACTTGTGCACCTTGATCAGTTTGCCTCATCCCTCAGGTCACTAAATGTGTGCCTTTGGCAGTGGTTCAAAGCTGGCTATCCCAGAACCGCCAAAGCAGTTCCCATTCTAAAATACCTACAGGAATTTGAGAGCGGGAGCTCCATGACTCCACCTGTGACTGTGATCGGCAAGTAGAACACACACATGGCCCAGACTGCCCATCCATAGAACCATCCCTCCAGAGATCAGAACAGGGACTTGGGATCTCCGTGCTCAGCCTCTGGCTGGAGGAGCACATCCACTCCCCAGCTGCTGCAGCTCAAGCCTGGCATTAGCATTATCCAGTTACTCAGCGAAGGCTTTACAGAGAGCTCCTGAGCATGAAGTGGGAGAGAGGTGGCAAAGACCCAATGGCTCATTCGACACTGCTATGAATTGAAGGCAGGGAATTGAGTCACAGAGTGGAGAGGGGTGTCAGGCTTGGGGAATGAACCTGGGTTCTCAGTGGGTCACAGATGTAACATGGGCCACAATTAAAAGGCCTGGAGAGTGGCAGTTCTATGAGGTAAATAGAATGGGCTACAACAGAACATTCTCAGGCTGGTAGATTTCAACAGGCTTCAGGAAAAACCAAAACAAGAAAACACCAACCAACTCACAGGTACAAAGAAACAACCACAAAGTCCTTGGAGCAGCCAGAGGCTCTGAGAGTGACAGCACAAGGAGTGGGAGCTCCAGGGGCTTTGAAAAGAGACTGGCTGCTGTTAAGGGACCCCTGAGCCTCTGAGTCAGAACACAGCGCCTCTTTCAACAGTCATTTGTGTTCCTAAAAGGTGACAACTGGATGACATCATCACCCCGAGTTCAGAGGCTGTTCTCCAGATCTAAGAACTTCAAGACCCAGGAAAAGAGTGAAGCTACTGGAACATGTCTGAGTGTGTAGTGAGCCACGTCTATTTCAAATCCATTCCCTCCTTCCTGTCTCCAATAATGCTACCAGGGTGCAAGTCTTATCATCTTATTTCTGGGAGTTTTGCAACAATCTCCTATCTGGTCTTTCTGCTGGTACCTCCTTCCTTCTCAGCATAGCACCCATGCTTATTAACAGGCTCATTTTTCCATAGTACAAATAGGATCACATCACTCCACCACCCAACTCTAATGAATTTCCATTGACCTTCTTAACACAATACACATCCACTTTCACAATATCTGACCCCTTCCTTATCTCCTAATGTGTCTCCTATACAAGCTGACAGTCACACACATATATACACACAGATAATAAGAATGCTTAGAGTTTCAACAATACTAGATTACTTTTAGTTTCCCCAAGTAGAGCAAGCCCTTTCCTCTCTTCATGCTTTTGGTCACAGTCTTCCTTTTGCCTAAATGCCCCCCTTCTCTTCATCTGTCTGGCAAATGTTTCCTATAAGAAATAATTCAGAAGTTTTATGGCAGTCCCAAAATCTCAATGACGTTTTCTGCAGAAATAAAAAAATCCATAGTGAAATTCATATGGAATCTCAGGGGACCCCAAATAGTCAAAACAATCTTGAAAATTAACAAAGTTAGACATCTCACCCTTCCTGATTTCAAAACCTATTATAAATCTATAGTAATCAAAACAGCATAGGCCTAGCATATAAAAACAGACATGTAGCATAATGGAATAGAATAGAACATCCAAAAATAAACCCTTACATACATGTTCAAATTATTTTTGTGAGCATGCCAAGACCATTCAATGGGAAAAGACTGCCTTTTCAGCAAACAGTGTTGGAAAAACTGGATGTCCACGTGCAAAAGGATGAAGTTGGACCCTTACCTTATACTATATAAAAAATTAACTCAAAATGTATCAAAGACCTAAATGTAACAGCTAAAAATTTTAGAAGAAAATTTTAGAAGACTGTTAGAAGAAAACATAGGGGTAAAGATTCATGACATTGGGGTTGACAATGATTTCTTGGATGTGACACCAAAAGCACAGGCAACAAAAGCAAAAAAAGAAATGGACTCTATTAAAGTTAAAAACTTCTGTACATCCCAGGGTACAACAGAGTGAAAAGGCAACCCACACAATGGGAGAAAATATTTGCAAATAATATATCTGATAAAGGGTTAATATCCAGACTGCTACCTATCCTAATTCCTAATATCAGGACTCCTACAACTCAACAACTAAAAACAAAGAGCTCAATTTAAAAATGGGCAACAGACTTGAAGCAATATTTCTCCAAAGATACACAAGTAGTCAATAGGCACATGAAAAGATGCTCCACCTAACCAAGCATTAATGAAATCAAAATCAAAACCACAGTGAAATATCATCTCATACCATTAGGATGACTACTATCAAAAATCAGAAAATAAGTATTGGAACTTGTACACTGTTGATGGGAAAATTGTGCAGCCACTATGGAAAATAGGACGACTATTCCTTAAAAAATGTTTAAATAGAATTATCCTATGACCCAGCAATTCCACCTCTGGGTATATACTCAAAGGATTTTAAAGCAGAGACTTGAACAGAATTTGTACACCAATGTTCAGAGTTGCATTATTCACAACAGCCAAAAGGTGGAAGTAACCCAAATGTCCATCCACAGATGGATGAATAAATAAAATGTTGTCCACACATACAACGCAATATTACTCATAGCCTTAAAAAGGAAGGCATAAACATGGATGAAACTTGAGGACATTAGGCTAAGTGAAATAAGCCAGTCAAAAAGGACAGATATTATATGATTCCACACGTATGAAGCACCAACAGTGGTCATATTCACAGAGACAGAAAGTAGAGTAGTGGTTGTCAGGAGCAGAGGCAGGGAAAAGACAATTATTGAACAGGATACAGGGTACAAAGTTTCTGTTTTGCAAGATGAAAAGAGTTCTGGGGAAGGATGACAGTGATGATTGCACAGTAATGTAAATATACTTAATGCCACTGAACTATACCCTTAACAGTAATTTAAGATAATGATTTTTGTTATATGTATTTTATCACAATTTAAAAATTGTGTTGGTGAGGTAAAACAGTGAATTTTGAAGGTTACTTTATTTAAAGAATCTTGCAATGAAATTTTGGTTTTAAGTTAATAAGAATGATGGCAGAGTTACCTTTTAGTGGTATTAAATTTGAAGTCAATAAAATTCTAATTCATATCACAATATGAATATGGCTTAATTTTAAGTAAGAGATGTTATTGCACTTATTTTTAAAAATCGGATTGTAAATAAGTGTAATCTATCATATTTATAGATTAACAGGAAAAAGATCATATGAATAGATGGAAAAATGCATTTGTGTAAAATTTAATAAAAATTCATGATTTAAGTAAAGGAAAGACCCCCACGAATCTTCCAAATGCCTTTCTTTGCCTATAAGAGTGTCTAGATATTCTTCTAATATTGTGCCTATGATATTGCAATTGGAACTGAGTGTCCCCCGGTATGTCACCCCCATACAGGTGACTGTGTCATTACATAGTGTTCAGGGGGTGATTATCCCTTTAGCTACCTGGGGAGAGGTGTGCTGTCAGGAGCAGAGAAGTTTCTGGTAAGAACAGTTCATCTCTGACGATGTTGGCATCAGCTAGTAGAGGTTCTAAAACTTGCTTGGCCCCAGTTGGGTTCTCAGACTCTGAAAGAAAAAAGCAGCAGCACAAAAATCATCACATACCCAGGAGATCACATCATACCTTAGACCTGGTGTGTGTGTGAACCCAGCAGAGAAGCTTTGGTGGCTAGGGTCTGGATCCTTGGAAGGATGAATAGCATCCCCAGAGAGGAGAAAACCCACTGACAGAGGTTAATCTGCAATTTGAACTAGACAGCCAGATAAACCAATCTCCCAAGGTCATAGCAGAAAGGATGCAAGAGGTAAAAGATCAAAGAAACATGCTTCCTCTCCACTCCTGTCAGCCAAAATCCACAAAACAGCTAGTGTGGGATGTGCCAATCTGGCCTCTCATCAGTGAAGTTTGCAGGCTAGCCTCTCTGGAACAGGAAGGGAGGGAATTCTGTTCCCTTCTAGCAATGCCCAGATGGGCCATGAAATGAAGTCTCACACAGCTCTGTAGGCACTAGAATCCTGGAAATGCTGATATGTAGATTCCTACACCCTGTGCCTTCCATGCTGAAGTGTCAAGGCCTCTACTCAGCCCAGGTAGGAAATCTCCTCTCTGTGTCCAGCTTCCCTTAGAAGCTTTCAGGAAGAATGAAATCATTCATGGAGCTCTGAGCACTGAGCTGTCCCCACTTCACATGTGCACACTCATTCGTTCATTATCATCGCACCCTGCCAACTACTGCAGCTTCCGACTTCTGCTTATTGATGACTTTATAGAGACACATCTCAGCTGCTTCTTCCCCAAAAAGGATTGGTGGCACCATCCTATGTTAATTTTACAGGTCAAGAAAATAAGGGCAAGAAAGAAAAGAAAACTGGAAGCATGAGATCGGTAACTGTTTACAGACTCATGTACCAAAGTGCAGAAGTAGGTCTTTGAAGCCCATTGACCTTCCACTCTACACTTGTGAAAACCATCAGGCACTGACCCTAGGACAGTCACATGTTGTCTGAAGAGCAAAAGCTCAAATGGAAAAACAGTCCTCATATCACCAGCTGCGGAGAGGATACACATGGCCCCAGAGAAATAACTGAGCTGAGAGAAACCCCGATTTTATTTGTAGGGCAGATAAGCACCTGGGGATGATACATCTAACATGCCAGTCTGCCAGCCATTTGGTTTCCATTGCCCCATCAATCTTCCCCTCCCAACCATCACAAGGAATCATTTCCAGAGACATATCCTGGACCTTGTCATCACCTGGAAAGGTTTTACCTCTGAATACTGGGCTGTGAACTCCTTAAGGGCAAGGACCATGCCTTAATTCTTATCTTTGTTCTCAGAGTTTCCAACAATAAGTTCACAGAGCTAGTGCTCAGGGACTGTTTGCTGGATAAATGGCTCACACTGAGAAATCTCACTCTCCAATCAGAACCTCTATCCTACCTCTCTGATATGGTTTGGCTGTGTCCCCACTGAAATCTCATCTTGAAATATAGTTCCCACAATCCCCAAGTGTTGTAGGAGGGACCCAGTGAGGGGGGTAATTGAATCATGGGGCAGTTACCCCCATGCTTCTGTTCTCCTAGTAGTGAGTGAGTTCTCACGAGATCTGTTGGTTTTATAAGGGGCGTTTCCCCCTTTTCCTCAGTACTTCTCCATGATTGTAAGTTTCCTAAGGCCTCCCCAGCCACACAAAGCTGTGAGTCAATTAAACCTCTTTCCTTTATAAATTACCCAGTCAAGGGTATATCTTTATTAGCAGTATGAGAATACTGCTATGCACTCTCCATACCTGAATCAAAGTAAACATGCTCCCCAAGCTCTCTGAGGCTTCTATCTTGTCATTCCCTCCCTGCTCACTCAGTTTATCACTCTCATCCTAGATTCATCTTTCCTCTGCACAGCCTGGCTACTACAACTACACTACATGCTACCCTCACCAGACCCTTCTGCTGCCCTCAACCTCAGGCCTAACTTCCAAAGCACTCCAACCCTCACCTGCCTTCTCTCCTCCCTACAGGCTAGTGCTTCTGAAAAAGTATAATCATTCATATTTGTAGCATTGCAAATGCTGAATTTACAAAATCAGTTGAGGCCCCCAGTGCTGCGAGGAAAGTCAGAATGTATGTCCCTGACATCTTACTTTCTCACTTTCTCATTCTCCAATCTTCTCATTCAATCTTCTCAGCTTTCCAGAGAAATTGAGGACACCCTACATGAACTCTAACTTTCCTCCCTTCCATCTCATTCTGACCTTCCTTCCTTCTGTCTCTAAGGAGTTTTCACCTGTGCTTTCAAATTATTTCCTCCTTCTTCCTACAGGACATGGTTCCATTAATGAATGATTCTTCTTTGACTTTCCCTTTTCTGGTTGATCTCCATCTCTCTATATAAATGGGTAGGCAGATAGATGGATTGATAGACAGACAGGTAGGTAGATAAATAGATAATATGTATATAGAGTGAATATATATATTTGTATAATTCTCTTTCTCAAAATTTTAGTCTTTCACTTTCTCTTCACCTTCCTGTCCCATATATAAATACATATATATAAACACACATACATATATACATTCTATACTTATATACATACATATATAAATATACAATGTGTATATGTATGTATGCATGCATGTATATATGTATGTGTATATGAATATCTATTGTTTTTTCTCAAATATTTGCTCATTCTTTCCCTACCACTCTCTCAATCTATCTTTTGATCTACTGCCCTTATCTCTTTTTATCTACTATAAACTTACGTAATTTCCCCCACCTTTAAACAATCTTCCCTTTGCTCAGCCTCTGTTGTAGTTTCTTATCACCCATTCTACTTCCCTTCATAGACATACATCTTCATAGGAACTTGTATTTCTTCTTTCCATTTCTTCCATCAGTCCATCCTTGGCCTAAAATATCTGGCTTCATATCCAGCCTATCTACCAAAGCATTGTTGGTAAGGTGGCCACAGTGAAACAATCAAGTCTGTGCTTCTAATGATTGCTCCAGCATGGAGACTATGAGCTCCTGGATGTCGAGGGGGCTCTTGTGTCCTATCCTTCTGCATTTGTGGTAGCTAACACAATTCCTGGCACTTAAGTGCTTTAAAACAAATTTCTGTCTCAGTGATGGGAGTCAAGGTGTGTGGGGCTAAGATTGTCAGACATGGGCCTTAAAACAGAATGAACAATGTCCTCAATGACACTGACATTACTCCTGAGACCTCAAGAAAAATCTTAGTCTTGATTTGAACCTAAGAGAACCAGGGTTAAGAAATGATATAGTCCTAGACAAGACTCACTTGGTGGTGGCCACAGACCGCAGGAATACCAATGCTGTTACAGCAGGGCTCTAACACGGAGCCCGAGGCCTTCACTTAGCACTATGCAGAGGTCACTACCAAGGGTGGTTCACAAAATGTTTCTAACTTTAACACACTGTGATACTGTTTAGCCTGGAGGCTGCCTACCTTCCTATCCCAAGGCAGAGCTTGCTTGTCTTAAATTAATAAATATTTATTAAGCCCCACTAGTACCATTTATTTAGCAAGCAAGCTGCAGCTATTAAGGAACTGAGAATTCTCTGAAGGTCCACATGTTACTCACCTCCATGCCCAGTGATTGACTCACAGGGCTTCCTTTGAATGACTAAGTCCAGAAATGAGCAAATGTGGTCAGCAATCTACCTACCTACACTGCAAACAGAATCAAGTATAAATGCAATGTAAATTAAGTGGACAGTTGGGAAAAGAATAATTAATTTCAATAATAAGGTAGCAATGCAGAGGACCCATAAAGACTTCATAGAGAGGTAACATTCAAATTGAATGTTGAGCTACTGCATATTAATTTAACTACTGAGTATTAATTTAATAATGAATTATACTAATAGCTCACATTTATTGAGACCTTTCTCTTCAACCCGACAATTTGCAAAGTGCTATTTAATTTAAGTTTCATAACAGTCCCATGAGGTAGATGCTATTATCCTCATTTTTCAGATGGGAAAACTGAGCTATGGAGAGGTAAAGTTGCCCAAGATCACCTAGCTAGAAAATGATGAAGTTCAAATTTAAACAGTCCAACTCCAGTGCTCTTAACTTTGCTAGAGTAAAGAAAAGCACTAGAGACAGAGGGAAGAGCAGGAGCTAAAGTACATGGCACATCTTTAGCATGGGAGCAAAGGGATAGGCAGAGAAACTGAACAGAAGTCAAAGCTGCAAAGGCAAAGTTGGAATTGCATTTTGGTAGATCTGCAGTGCCTTGCAGAAGTTGAGCTTTATTTTATGGACAGTAAATAATATGAACAGGAGAATGACATGGTCAGTTCTGCTTTGTAGGAAGAAAACACTGGCAGAAGTGTGGAGGATGTGTTGGAGAAGCCAGAGATGGTCTGAAAGACTTATTGGGGGTCTAACTCAGTAGCCCAGGTAAAGGATGATGCACACCAAAAACCAAGGAGATAAAGTAGCTGAAGAAGCCAGCAACCCAGAAACCCAACACAACTGGTGCACAAAAAACAGACTCCCAAAAAATGCCTGCTCTCTCTAGCCAGAGGACCAGGAAAGGAGTGTTCTAGCATGACAGAAAACTCTTGGACAATAGCCACTCTACTTCAGCCAAACATCATTTTAAAAAACAAAAAACCCATGGCCTCATCCACACCCACACCCATACCAGCAAAGCCTGAGTAGATAGCCTAGACTTTCACCCTTAAGACACTATAGCAAGAAACTCCAACACCCTTGCCAGAGTGATGTCAGAGAAGACCCAAGGGGAGAGATGAGACTTTCATCTGAGATAGCTAGTGAGCTACCTTCCCTGGCAATATCAGTAAGGACTACATGGGAAGCCTGGACATCTGCCCCCTCCTAGAAATAACTAGATACTCCTCCCCTTCTCCACTGGGGTATCAGAGGCAGCCTAGTCAGGACTCTCATCACTACCAGTGGTTATAAGCCCCACATCAATGGAGACCACATGGGATCCAGAACTCCCATCCCCATCCAGCAGTAATGAGGAGCCAATCAATTGATGCGAACACTAAGATGATAAGGATAATAGAA